AAAATGATTTCAATATACGCAAATCCGCTTTGACAGATCTACTAAGCCGAATAAAATGAGACGCACACCGTATGTCTTTGCTCAAATCTATAAGACGACGCAGAAACAACAGAACAAGCAAAATTAAGAAGGCCAATTAATGACTGTACCTCCTTTAAAGTAGCTTTCTTGCGCTGTAGAAACATCGAAAGGAGGGCTTTGGATTTAGGCTGGTTATTTTATCCGCTGGTAAACGTGCTTCAAACAATATAGTGTCTAATTCAATACCGGCAAATGGCAAAGTGGTTCGAGGACCGACAGTCTTTTCCGGAGCAATCGAAACACCAAGATACTCGCAAAGTGATAAAAAATTCTTCAAGTCAGTGCAACATTGGTCATGTGATGAAGCTGCCATTAGGTAGTCATCAAGAATGTGGATAAGGTGCGCAATGTTCAAATGTTTCTGGACAACCCATTGCAGTGCTAAACATTTCAAATCTCCGACAGGATGATGCACATCCCATCGGCATGGCACGGTCATAATAGAATTCTCCTTGCCAAAAAATTCCCAGAAGATCATAATCCTGGGGGCATATAGAAATGATATGAAATGCATTTTTGATATCTGTTTTTGCAAGAAAACAACTTTTTCTTAGCTTTTTGATCATAGAAATTGCATCGTCAACTCGACTGTAACACACCACAGTATGTTCAGATGAAATACCGTCATTTATCGATGCCCCATGAGGAAAAGACAAATGGTGGATTAGACGAAATTCCCCAGGTGTTTTCTGTGGCACAACGCCCAAAGGGGAAACTCGAAAATTATGAAAAGGAGGTTCTTGAATAGGTCCAGCAATTCCATTAGCTGTTAACTCCCAGGTGATCTCGTGTTCGTATTTTAGCCAATCAGCGCTCAGAAAGGGTTGTCCGAATAGAAATCCATTTTGATGTATCCAGTCAATCATATCTTTCGTTATTCTTGATGAAACTAGTTGAAATTTTGTAATTATGTTTGGTTATGAGAACTATAGCTCTGACAAAAATATGGAATCGAAATAAAGTATATTACAGGAGATATTCAGTTGTTTTAATCATAAAATGAATTTCTATTTGACAACTAGTGCCAGTACTTTTCCGCGTATCACGATCATCTGGTCCTTATCAAGTTAAACACTGACTACCTAAAAGATTTTTGGAACAAAAAGAAATACGTTCACCAGAAAAATGTAGGGGAAACCCCAGGTAAAACCATTATGTAACAAAGAAACAACATGCACATCATATCCACCTAACTAGGGTAGCATTCGTTCAATTAGGACCGGAGTTGGGAGCTCGGGACAAGGCTGCTCGTTTGACACTGAGGGGCTGAAAAATGGCGGTGGCAACGGAGGGACGAAAATTGGAAGTTGAACTGGAGGGACGAAAATTACAGCTGTGTGCAGGATGTTTCTTCCCACCTGTACACCTAAAACAAGTACGCTTAAAAATGCATGGCCAGAGCAACCAAGGCCCTGGTGAAACTTCCGGCAAAACCCTTTAGGTACGAATAGCCCACGCTGACTGAAATTGGATGGGTATGCTTCAAATAGCGAAACTGGGTGTCATAGAATTGGCAATTACCTGCCTGAGCAGCCAAATCCCGAACCACTTCACCATACTTCATAAGTGCTGGGGCCTCCAACGGGTGCATGCTGGTATAAACCCCAACAAATACTTGAAAAGCAGTCGTCCACACCTCAAAGTTGTGAATAGCTTTAGCCTTTGTAGTGGGTTCTAAAGCAAGTGTTGGTACTGGACCCTCGGATATGCCGAGAGAAAAATGGTAGCGCGGGTATCGCCTACTTGGGGGTTTATAAGTAACCCAAAATCTATAAATTTGTTGCCCCAAATCTTCAACTTAATCTTGGGGCTGACCTGGGCATCGATTGGAATACTAACAGAATTGAAATTAGATATACCTGGTCCAACAGAACTTGCCATGAGGTGTGGACAAATTACTCCCAATTGTACTACATCACCTGGAAGGTTTTCCATGGCTGCAGCTACTGGCCCCTGCCCTTGAGCGTCAGCCACAGAAATGCCCTGCAGTGGTACCTCCCTCATGTTAGATTCCAAAGGCAATGTCACAGGATTGTGTTGAGGCATTTGCAAAGACTCCATAACAGCCTGGGTCACTGCAGAAGTAATTCTGGCAATGGTGGAATCCGAAAGGTCCGGAGGAGTCGTTCCTTGCACTGTAGGAGTCGTTCCTGGCACTCACGGGTGGAGCTAGGCCTGGATCCTGAACAATTGGTTGGTGGCTCAGTTCTTGTTGATCTCGGACGAGCAGCCATAGGCTACTCTGCACGCCGTTGGATGCGGGTACTTGGTCTTGGCATTATTTCTAAAGAGAAACTGCAAACAGGGCAGACTACGAGCCACTGATAATATCTTGTCACCTAATAGGGCAATATATTACCAGGCACTGTTCCACAACAAACACAATTTTAAAGTTTACAACAAACAAACATCTACTGATCTACAACTCTATAGTAAACGATTGTTGTTAAATATGGCATACCACAAAGGTAGCCGAACAAATTAATAACTGGGCCATCTGAAAACAACTTGCCGCGCCGTCCCACATATATTGAATTGAACTATGGGCATTTGAACACCTAGGTCCTATCCCATGTAGGCATATATTTCCATGACCAAGAAACTGTGGCCTAAATTTATGCTAAAAGTGCATAAATTCAAGGACAATACTGTACAGTGGTTTGATTCAAACAGAACGACAAAACAATTAACATTTGTACAAAACGCCCCAAGTACACAACATAAACTATATACAGTACGGTACCTCACATCACACTATATATATAAAACAGAAGCCACAAATTCATGAATGTTTCCTTCGCATGAAAATATAATTGCTCAATTCTCAATGTGGTATTTGCAAACAGCAATTGCTCAGCCCAGACACATATTCACACAGACCCTTGGGCCCCGGGAATTACACCATAAATTGATAATCATATCACATTTGTATGATTTGTATTAATGTCGTTTATGACTTTATTGAATATATGCACATGACATTTAATAAGTACAATAACCTTGGAAAAATCCAAGTACTGCAAATAATATGAAGTAAAATATCGATCGTGCAACATATTAAGAGCTTTAAAAATTGCTCCTCGATAACTCCTGTATAAGATATACTGTCCGTGGGGGTTGCAGTGAACCCCATCAGGAGACAACAAATCAATTCTACCATTGTCAACTTTACGATGGTCCCAAAGAAATACGCCACGTTCATTCGCCAAAACGACAGACAAATACTGTCGCAGAATAGAAGCTTTTGCATTAAAAGCATGGTCCGGTGCAGAGGGTCCGGTGTATCGGAATGCGGAATGTGCCTATTTATAACTTGGCACACGGCAATGACCTTTATGGTTAACTCGTCACGCATATAGCGTACGAGATCGTCTATCCGCGAACCGACCACCTCCGGAGAAAGGTTTTACAAATCGTTCGTCCCTATTTCCAAAACGACGATATCCGGTTTTAGAAGGAAATATCATACTTAAGCACTTTGTCTACAGTTCGACCACCGCCCGTGCCCTTCAAAGATACGTACAAGCCTGAATCGGCCAGGTTAAAATCTTGTTTGGAAAGGGAATCAAAACCATTATTTAAATCGTCATTTAAGCGGCTCACAAAAGAATGGCCAAATACCAAAACATTAGGAATGAAACCCGACATATTTCTTGAGGATAAATAAGATAAATAAGATAAACGGAAACACACAAACCTGAAAAAACTTTGGAAGAAAGTATACAAGTGTTGATCCTGACTGACTTCGGTAGAATAACCTAACCTTGATACTCGCGCCTTTTATACGCAGCATCATAGTAAAATTCCCAAATGTAGCAACTTCTCCCCGTAATATTTCGTTGCATGCGTTACGTCATCATTTCATTAGCTATAGTAAATCTAACTATATATGTATATAATAGGGAAAGCAATAAAATTACTATTCGGTGAACAAATAGTTCCTTTCCTGCCTTTCCTGAAATGAGCTGCTTTTGGCCATTGCAGGCCACCATTTTTGGATCCTAGTGTGAAGCAGCCATCAGTAGTGCACAATGGACGACTTGCGCTTTAGAAAAATTTCTAATCTCGGAAATAAGTGATCAAAATTAGAAAAACTGCAAAGTTTGGTTGCGAAATGTTGTAAAATACGGAAAATATAGCCCTGCAAAGTTGGCAAATTTGTATACATTTCTATTACGTGCGGAAATTGGTAACTAATTTCCAGGTGATCTCGTGTTCGTATTTTAGCCAATCAGCGCTCAGAAAGGGTTGTCCGAATAGAAATCCATTTTGATGTATTCAGTCAATTATATCTTTCGTTATTCTTTATGAAACTAGTTGAAATTTTGTAATTATGTTTGCTTATGAGAACTATAGCTCTGACAAAAATATGGAATCGAAATAAAATATATTACAGGAGATATTCAGTTGTTTTAATCATAAAATGGATTTCTATTTGACAACTAGTGCCAGTACTTTTCCGCGTATCAAGATCATCTGGCCTTAGTTACCAATTCACGCACGTAATACAAAAGTATACAAATTTTCCAACTTTGAAGGGCTATATTTTCCGTATTTTACAACATTTTGCAACCAAACTTTGTAATATTACTAATTCCAAGACGCTCTTTGTAGCTGTGGTGATAGATTTCATTGTTCTTACTTAGATTAAAATTTAGTCTAAAGCGCAAGTCGTCCATTAATTCTCTAATTCTTGTTAAGGTGGTAATATTGGTTTATTGATGCCGAGTTTCATGTCGCAGGGTGGAATGGGACCAGTTAAGAGATGGGATGCACAAAAATCGTACCCAGCTATTTACGGCATAACAAAACTTATGAATGTCACCTTCGATTCATTCCGGACGGGATGCAATGGTAAACGAGATTCAGCAATGATGACGAACCCTGTTGTAGGGGATATTACGCATCCAATTACAATGGAAGGAATAATTAAATCAAACATGGATAATGAATCAATGCTCTTCTACACAGTGCCGACTACTCGGTAAGTCGTTAAAACATGCTTTGGGGATGTTTTTAATAATCTGCCAACAGTTTTATTGCCAACATTTGCAGTGAAGAGAATCAGTATTAAGGCTAATACAATATCCCCTAAAACTACCTAACTTTTTAAAATTTCTATAAGCTACAGTACCCCTTGTTTAAGGTAAAACCCCACCCAGCCACCCACATCTCTCACCCAATTGGATTTGTTTAAAAGCACATATTAATAATATAAGTAATACAATATGTATTTATTTTGAACTGAAATACAAAAGTATTTTAAAACATGTTAAAAAACTCATTAATAATTCATGAGTAGAATGCAAAAGAAATCACTGCCGTGTCGGTGGTTTTATTATATGTGATAAAAAATCATGTTCATTTACATAAACTTTAGCTTTGATTTTCTCGGCTTAGATAACGTTTAGTTAATTAAATACTCATTAATAATTCATGAAAATTCAAAAGAAATGAATGTTTAATCAATGTTTGTAAATCGGATAAAGATTTGTCCGGATTTACATAAACTTCAGCTTTAATTTTCTCGGCTTAGACAATGTTTATTTTTAAAATTTCTTCGCCAATGAACTCATAAGATGGGTCGTTTTTTAATTAAGTTAAAACATTCGCCCATACTGGAAAGTTCGTAATTCACACGCCGAATATTTCCGCCGACTGTTTTCTACCTTAATTTTATACGCCAAAGCGTGTGATGTTCTTACGCCAAAGACCTAAACGGCTAAACTGACGAAGTCTATTAAGTCTACGAATTTAACAATTAACATTGTAGCCCCCCCCCCCGAACAAAATATGAAAATACACTACGTATAGTAGTATACATAACATAATTATCTGTAAACTACAATACATTGACAATGTCAAAAGTACATGAAATATAAACCATGTTCTACAGTTGGATCAAAGTACATGCAGTGCTTCCATTTTCAAAAAACAATTTCCTTCCAATCGTTCAAAATTTCCTTATTTTTGAAAAAATTTCCTTGCAATAAAAATGATTGAATTTTACCTAATTTAAAACTGATTTTATAGTAATTTCTGTAATTTATCTCGAATAACAGGGTATTTCTTGTTCTAGAAGAAACATAGACGTTACAGGGGCTGATTTATCAAAGGGGAGAGACAAAGTGTTTACATAGTACCACCTGATAGTAACGATATGTCTGATCTTAGATCCTTTGCTGATAACCTATTTCCTAGTTACGACAAGATTATTATTGCCGGGGATTTTAACCTCCCAAATATCTCTTGGACAGATGGTAACTATACATCGTTTGGTTCATTGAGTCAGAATTTCTGCGATATTTTGGACGATTACTTCATGTCGCAACTTTGCCTTACGCCTACGAGAGAATCAAATATTCTGGATCTACTGATTACAAACCAACCTGAACAAGTATCATTTATAGACATCTGCTCTCCAACGGATTTAGGAATGTCTTCTGATCATAAAATTATACAGTTTAAATTTTTCTTCGCATCTAAAACCATTCAATCTAATAAACGTTTGGTCTACGATTACAGACGAGCCAACTTTGACGGCCTGCGAAAACGTTTAATAGACATCTTGCATCATATTCGTAAAAAGGTTACTGCCCGTAAGAGATTCCTTAGCCGTGGAACTGATTATCTTAAGGCGAAGTTTAACAAACTGAGAGCTGAAGTTAAAAAAATGATTCAAAATAGCAGAGAGTCATTTTTCTCGTCATTAGGAAACACTATACAAATCAACCCAAAACGTTTTTGGTCGGTTTTCAAAATCAAGTCAAGTTCTGGAAATATACCCAACTCCGTCACAAGGTCGGATACCAACAATCCTGGGACTAGATTACATGCTAACACACCACACGACATTGCAACAATGTTTAACGAGTACTTTCATTCTGTCTACACATGTTTCTCTGACCAACCCCTGCCATCTCAATCTGGTTCATCATCTCCTTTATCCAGCATCTCATCCATTGACCTCTCTCTAGAAGAAGTATATCAAGCCTTACTGAACTTAGATCCTTGGCTCATGGTCCTGACGGGTTTCCTTCCCGCATTTTAAAGGAATGTGCCCTCCAATTAGCACCTTCACTTCATTACTTGTTTTCAAAGTCACTCCGTTTATCACAGGTTCCCACCGAATGGAAATTAGCTAATATAATTCCTCTACTCAAGAAAGGAAACAAAGATCACGTTGAAAACTACCGTCCCATTTCTCTGTTGTGTATCATAAGCAAGACTCTTGAACGTTGTGTCCTCAACCATTTATCGCACCGTATACAGTCCAACATTCATTCGGCGCAGTATGGTTTCGTCAACGGAAGATCAAGTACAGCTCAGTTATTGTCAATTTTAAACACTATTGGGAAAAACTTGGATCAGGGTTTACAAACTGATGTTGTTTTCATGGATATTTGTAAGGCCTTCGATAGCGTTGACCATTCCATACTTTTACAAAAACTTCACGATTTCGGCTTCTCTGGTTCTCTCTTGCTATGGTTTCAAAACTATTTATCAGGTCGCTTCCAACGGGTAACTGTACACGGTGCTACGTCTACGTCTCTGCCAATCACATCTGGAGTCCCACAAGGATCGTTGCTGGGTCCCTTTCTCTTCTCAGTATACATCAATGACTTACCTAACAACATATCCACTTCCACTGGGGTCGGTTTGTTTGCTGACGATACCAAACTTTACAGATGTGTGCAGAATCCCTGTGATGCATTGGTCTTGCAAGATGATATTCAAGGCCTACTTTGTTGGTCGATAGAAAACCGGCTACGCTTTAACCAATCTAAGTGTAAAGTGTTGTCAATAACCAGAAAGAAATCGCCTTTAATTTATCCCTATAAGCTTGACAATGATCAGTTGTTGGTTTCCAACGCACAGGTTGATCTGGGTATCACCATTAGTCCTAAGCTATTACGGAACGATCAAGTAAATAAAGTACGGTCGAAAGCCAACCAAATGCTCGGGCTAATTAGACGATCTACCGCGGAGATGACTGTTACCAACGCGAGGAGGCTTCTGTATCTACAACTCGTACGCAGCAATTTTGGTTATGCATCCCAAGTATGGTGCCCACAATCCATTAAGTTAATCGAAGACATCGAGAAGGTGCAGAGAAGAGCAACGAAATACATCTTAAATCTTGGGTTTACCACCGATGTCTCGTACATAACCAGATTACATCAACTGGAGTTACTACCAATAACTTATTGGCATGAATATTTGGACATGGTTTTACTCTATAAGTTAATTAACAACTATACCTATATTGATGAGAGTGCTCTACCAATAATAGCTGAATCAGGAATAACCAGACGTGAAACCAACGAAAACGTGATTAGATTTGTAATACCCTTTGCTAAAACTGTAACATACCAGTCTTCATATCTTATTAGAGCGTGTAAAACGTGGAACGTTTTAAATAGTGACCTCCGTAATAGAGATATTGGCCTGCAAGCTTTCAAATCTGGACTAAAGACGTACTACAAATACGCGCTATCTAATATTTGTAACTATGACGATCCGCGAACTTGGAAATCTGTGTGCGTTAAATGTAAAAGGGCTAGGTCCCTTGATGGTGTTTTAAGTTGTTGTTAGTTGTCTCTTGCACCGATTGTATTTTGTCTTAAATTAGTTCGTTCCGACTGTTAAAATTATTGTAAACGTAAAGTTAATTATGGGGTCGCCGTAATTGGGGAAACTGTGGCGAACTCCCTGGCGTTGTATTAGCCGAATCTAATTAAATCATTAAATCATTAAATCATAGATTAACACG